AAAATTTGGCTTACAAAGCAGAAAATGTTAGTTTGGTAGCCTCTCGTTGAGTAAGTACTACGTAAACTTTTCTCTTAACGTTGGTAGATCACCTTTTCGTGGTTCGTTACAAGATGTAAGATCTCACCGATTCCTAGTCCTGACTACTTCAAACTAGGGGAACATGATTTTTCTTAGTCCTTGCTACTTTTTATGCCTTGTGATAGTGACAAGACTTGGATTTGTCCACCGAGGATGATCTAGAAAAAAAAGAGTTAGTTTTCATCTATGTGATTCCTAATCTTCTATTCGTTGTTCTCTAGTTTGCAGTGGTTAGGACTAGAGTTCTGATGTTTGGTCATTATCGGTGTCATTGTTTAATTTTGTTACTAAAGAATCCAATTTTGACTGACAAAGGGGCGTGACTTTGGAGGGTGTTCTCCTCACTCTTTGAAGGGTATAAACACCGAGACCTTTCAAGTAGAATCGATTCCTTGCGATGAAGGCAAGAATGACAACTGTCTTCTTCTTCTTCTTCTTCTTCTTCTTCTTCTTCTTCTTCTTCGCATTTCAAGCTTATTGCGTATGGCATTATTAGCTTATTGTGTGCCCTCAACTTAGTGTTCTAGATGCACTTCCACAGTTATTAATTGAGAGCTTTCGATGCATGTACCATTTTTGCATTTGTATAATTGTGTGGCAGGTACAATCATACTCTATGCCCAAGGAAGTCGAGAAATTTTCCAATCCGAAAAATTCCTAGACCGGACCGGGAATCGAACCCAGCCTTCTCCAGCATGGTCTTGCTTTGTAGCTGCGCCTTTATCGACTGAGCTAAGGGAGGCTCCAATGACAACTGTATTAAAACCGAATACTTCATCATTTCTCAATAGTTATGGAGTAATACCATTCGGTGGAAACTAACGATTTTAAATTGGCTCACTGCTTGACTAGCCTATTGGTCCCAAGTATATTTATAAGCGTACCCCATTATAGTCGAAATTCTTGTACTACACTATGTTTGTTTTGATTCTCTATGAAAGTTTGACAGATAAAATGAGGGGTTCGTGGATTTTCCTATGTTTCCATGGGGGGGGGGGGGGTGCATCGATTAGCTTGGGACCGAAAATAGTACCAGAGCTGAGCCAAAAAGTTGAGCACGTTTCTTCGGGACCTTACCTCTATGGTAATACAACATGCACTAAACTAAGGACACGGGATATACTAGGATAGATCAAATTACTAGTCGCAGTGGTTTTATGTCCCGAACAAAGGAAAAAAAACACGTTTCCTTCCCTATTACTAGTTACAGTAAAGATAGGCATGGCCGGGAATAGCGACATTCATGCTTTTGGTATTCTTGTTTAGACTGGAAATAATGATTACTCCCCAGCATTATTCCTGAAAGCAGTCTGACTAAGAATTTCAAAAGAGACGTGACTGTCACTAGTATCTAATCTACGAAGTATACTGTAATAACGCTGACGCTTACGCTAACGTGTTGATCGGAAATCCATATCACACCCTTGTCAAGAGCAGTTGTTGTCGTCGTCGGTGAGGTCGCCGCCGGGATCTAAATCTAGTGAGAGCAAGTTGAAGGGGAACTTGATCGTAATTGTTTTGTGGTACAAGGAGCTCGGTGGCCTTGTGGCGACCAATTTTGCTTACTGAGAGGCAATCATGGATTCATTTTTAAAATCCCGCACATTATAGAGTAATAATGTAAACAGTTTTTTTTTTAATAGGAGATAAAACGTAATGAAAATCTGGAACGAGTACGTAAATGAAATAATATTCGAGTTTTAGGAAAGACGTTGCCGCCGGGATCAAAACCTAGTAACAACAAGTTAAAAACAAACTTGCTCGTAACTTTTCTGAGGTATAAGGAGCCCGGTAGCTTAGTGGCGACCGATTTACTGAGCAGAAGACCGTGGGTTCGTATCCAAGCTTTTTTGCACTATTTAATTGTTATGACATCAATTCAACATATCGTTTAACAAAACGTATCCTGCTGCAATCCCAACCCTTTTGATTTCTCGTGGAAAAGCAGGGGTGTTTTCGGCATTCATTAAAGCGAGTATTACGTCAACATATTCCTACTTGACCAGCTTTTGGACGTGGCCGATGCTGGTATGGCCTAGTTTTAGATCACCATTATTTACAGATTTATGATGATTGGTAGTCCCAGGCAACGTATTTTGGTTCTCTGTGTAATTACAGCTTATCTGGCAATAACGGAGTTGAATCGAATATGGACATATTACCACCCACCAAAAGATAGGGCTACCACCTAGCTGATTACAGTTCATTTAATAGAATACAATAATAGTACAACAGTCAGAAACAGTAATTCTTCCCTCGATAAAAGCTCAATTTAAATATGTCACTTATTTAGTCCCTATAATCATATTCGTTTACCAAAACCATATCATGATTTTCAGAACAGAATTCACGTTTTTATGACTTTTTTTTCCTTAATGGTGCCCGCCCAAGTAACAATGTTGGTTTTATTATTGCCTTGGAGATTTGATTTAGACTTAAATAATAAATCCAGCAAAGTATTTTTGGCTCCGCAAAGTGTCACACACATCTTAGTCTAGTAAATAAACGAACTAGTTGAAAATAGAGATAATGACGATAATGAGATAATAGGAAGGTAGCATATTTTTTACCCCTCCTGTCCCAGAAACCTACCGGAACCAATCCGGCGAAACTTGAAAATAAACCAATCCCAAAAATTTCTACAAAATCGGTCAAGTAATACTCGGTTAGCAGCATTTTGAATTCTTTTGAAAAGCTTGGTTGCCAACGGGTTAAATAACACTAAGTTGATAGCCGGCAAAACGTCTGCAAAATAAGCTTTAAAACCCAGACGAAGAAGTTATAATAGGAAAGATCTCACCACGTTCTGCCATCTAAAGTAATGAAGGCTGCTTACACAATTGTGTTGTCTTTGAAGACGTTTAAGAAAAATTCCTGAACTCCTTTGGGTTAGTTTAAAAGTTACCGGATTTAGCAGGTCCTTTTCTTACCTATAGCATTTGCTTTCCATTCATTCCTTTTAAAGCAGTAGAGTTAAGGTTTAATTTCCGTCATACTAAACACAACCCCACTTTACCTTTCTTTTTCGAACGGGTTTGAATAAAAAATGGAATGCTTCTTTCAATGATAACTTCTAAATTTATTTACCTGTCGATATGTACCCTTAGATTTGATAAAGAATCAAATATATAGCACTTCTTCTTGATTCCAATTCCGTCAAACGAGCTTCAATTTCCTCCAAATACACTGAATCGTCATTGGATTCACTTCGGCATACTGATGAATGCAGACGAAATGGATTCGCTATGAGCGCTATCACTATGAAAAAGCAATTTAGTTCCCTTTGTTGGTACCGTTCCACGTAACTCCAGTCAAAAACTGCACGAAACACACCCACAAAACAGTCTATAAACCAATAAAGGTTGAACACGAAAAAATCCGGACACATTAAAAACGCTGCCATTAAAGCATTTTTTTATTTAGTAAAATTATTTAAAATTTCACTGAATCAAGCTAAGAGTTTATAGAATCTCAGTATGCATTGGTTGGCAAGATAAGTTCATTTGTTTACATCATGGCGTCACCGGAGCAAGCACGTCGCGATTCGATCTTGCATGCTCGAAACGAAAATCCCGGTCTGGCAGTTTTCGATAAAATTCCTGGGCAGGAATGTTGTGCTTCGGTTAACCGGAATAGTGCCCCAAAAGAATGTAAATTCAATGTGCCTATGAAAGAGACTACTGCCTTTTGTGGTGGATTGCCTATTCTGGCCAGACATGGCAAGCTGCCACTACTCAAATTCCACCCATCAGTGGTACAGCGAAAATGACGTCACAGTGGTTCCCAAGGAGATGAATCCGGCCGATACTCCGGAACTAAGACCAATTGACCAATTGACCAAATGGTTTCACACATACTGAAGAAAAAGGGTGGAACTGCAATTGACCTGAAGGATTTCAATCGGAAATGTAATTTGGGAACAGGGCTCTTGCAAAAGATGATGGGCCGTGTGCGGAGAAAAGTTCGAGCAATCGCCTATGGTTAGAAGGACGACTGAAACAATGGTCTTACAATAAGCATAACACCTACTAATGTATAGCTGTGACATTGAACTATGTAAAATAAAACGCATTTTTAAACCCTAACAAGATTTTCGTGTAGGGATCTTCTCGTGTTCAACCTTTAAATGTAACGTTTGATAAATAAAATAGCGTGCTAAAGAAAAAGATGGGATTACATTTGGTTTATTTTGATCCACATTTTTCAAGTATGTTATGAACTTCGTAATCGATATTGCAACACATATGTGCCTTCAAGAAACCCCTTATCGTTCAAAACAGACAGACACATATTTCGATATTCGTTGCGCGCGTGTAGAAACGTCCAGCAACAAAAGTCACAGCGGGTGTCCATCCAGTGTAGTTCGAATTCAACATTACAGGAAGGAAGGGAGGGAAGATGTCCTTTCACGTGACCAGCCTAACCGAACGACGACCGACACCCGGACAAGGTCGGGAAGATAGCGAAAGAAACTGACCATCGTTGTCAGTGGAGCAAAATGTGGCAATAACTCAACAATAATTTGATAGTTTGTGCTTTTCTTTTCCAGCTACCCACTTTCCCGCGCGCATTTTTGCTTCTGTTTTGGTGTGGAGTGGAGTTTTCCGGAAAAAGTGGATGCGAAAATATAGGAAAATAAATACAATTTATGCTGAAAACTTTTGGCTGGCCAGACGACCGACCGGGAGTGAGTCGTTCTGACGTTGACCCCTTACGGTCGATAAAGTTCCGGAATGATTTATGATCGTAATATTTACCGAGTGGCGTGAAACAAATTAGTTTAAAAGTTCAGCCGACTGTTGATTTGTTTGTTTGTTTGTTATAGATTGGTAACGTTTCGGTAGTTGGAGGATGGATGACGTTAATCGTGCGGATGAATTCTAAAAATTAATCTCAATTATCATTCTCTCCGGCTTTAGGTCTGGATCCGGCTTTTCCACTGTACGTATTTGAGCGTGCCTCCCAGCGGTTGAGCCTTAACGATGCCGAATTCGTGGACGTCGTTCACACCGATGGTGGACTGCTGGGCTACCCGTGGCCATTGGGTCATGTGGATTTCTACCCCAATGGGGGAATACCACTGCAGCCGGGCTGTGCCCAGCAGGAACTGGCCAAGAACCGATGGTTGGGAGTGATCATTGGTTGCAGCCATGCCCGTGCCTGGCAGTACTTTGCCGAATCTCTGACCAGGCCGAAAGCGTTCCTGTGTGATCGGTGCGAAAACAGTGATGACAATGCAACGGACAGCAATTGCACCATGACCAAAGAGGTGTTCATGGGAATGAATACCGACAAAACCCTGCGAGGGAAGTATTATTTAACTACGAATCCGGAGCCACCGTTTGGTAAGAATTTACCGATCGACTGATACGTTTCTAGTTCTATAGAAAGCACAACTAATTCCAGAGTTTTGTACATAGTAGCGATAAGTAGAATTTTAAATTCGTAAAATGATTGTGATTACATTTTAATGAAGTTTTGCTTTATTTTATTTCTGAAAGAAAATCACGACCAGGTAAGAATCTATTCAAACCACTCTCTCAACACTCCTGAATTCATCTGCTGGTGTGCAAACCGAAACAGGATTCATCATCGAGTTACCGCATTGAATGGCAACCGGTAATCCCATACCGTTTCATTATTAACCCACCATAGGACTTTTTCCCGCTCCCGAAAAACGAATGACTCTCATAAATTTTAAACCCGACCGTGAATATTGCAGATAGCCTACGCCATTTAATCCCGCGATCCTTCGATAACGTACGTGCCCTGAATACAGATCAGCAGCACAGTGTTCCGTCCACCCACCACCCAACGGGTGTATGTCATCCGTTGTTCGCCGATTGGCCCCCAAAAAAAAAACCCGTCCTTTATCAAACGGTTCAGTTTCATTATTGAGATATTTATTGATGACAGAGGCACTTCACCAACTCATCGCTTGGTTGCGGTTTTCACACCAATTTCCAGTCGCCGCATTTTCCTCCCCTCCCGCTCCGCAATGACGCACACGTGGTGAATAAAATTCATTTGCTCTGTTTCTTGTTTTGCCTCGTACAATTAAACTATGTCAAGTGGAAAATTGAAACCAAACTCCTAATGTACCGTGAGAAAAGCGGCTGCCAAAAGTGGATTTCCAAATTAAATTAGTGGCCCTTACAAGCAATACATTTGTAGGACTGAAAGCTTTTGCACCAGTAATGGTCGATTATGCCTAGGGTCTAAAACTTTTCTCGTGGACGAGCATACGTAGCATAGTGTTCAAAACTAACAGCTTCCATTTCCGACATCCGCAGAGTACGCAAAAAGCTTCCATTTAAATTTCGCTTCTCCCCTTCAAGGCAATAAATCTCCATAAACTGGTAAGGCATGTCGAATGTGTGTGCCAAATGGGATCCCCAAATGGAAAAACAGATAGGGTAAGTGTACCAATGTATTGTATTTTGCGATCAATGTTTATGTGTATCCCGATGCATATTATTTGGATCAACAACCAACTTAAGATCTAAAACATGCCAAAACATGGTCAGAATAGGAGCATGGCAAAAATAGGTGCGATTCCCCTAGCTAGGTATATAGATGAAGCTTAGTATTGTGTTGGATTCAGTTCTAGTCCTTGGGTGCTTTCCTTATGTACCTACTTTGTGCTGTTAGTGCATGTATATTAGGTTGTTAGTCATTGTTCTTCAATGCAGATCCTTCGCAAACGAGAAAAGAATGCTAGCGAAGATTACTTTTAGAATATGAATGCTAAAATCATCTGCAGAAGTGATGCGAGGTTTTTAATTGATGAGGAATATTGTTGTTTATTAATTTATTTGATAATGCTCAACCGAATTAACTTTACAGAACCGAGGATTCTTGTTCACTATACAATACATCTTAAAACTATAGTCAAAAGGTACAACACAATAAACATTTTATCTTCCGCTATCCAATAAGCCTCCTCCACCAGAACGGGAGCCGCTTCCAGTGGTTTCATTGTATGGCGGATTCGCCAGCGGGGGTCAGAGCGCTTCCAATGGACGCAAAACGTGGTCAACACTCACACACTGATCACGAGACGGTTGTTTTCCAAAGTCGACGACGCATCGACTAAAAGAACTGCTGATGAAGAACAATGAGGAGGACCACACAATGGTTGCTGCCGAGTAAACAGACGATAGCGTGACGCATATTGAGAGTGGTCTGCTTCTGTCGACAGTCGAGTGAACACTGATTGATTAGGAATATGAAGTTCTCTATTGTTTAATATTCGGTCAAAGGTCAGCTCAAACACAGAATATGACATTTTACAATCTGGGATGGTGAGTTTAATTTAAATTGTAGAAATTATTAATACGATAAAGTAGGAAGTCTTACGGGGGCCACCCTTAGCTCAGTCGGTAATAGCGCAACTGTAAAGTAAAACCATGCAGGAGGCGGCTGGGTGTAGGAATTTCTCGGGTTGGACAAATGTATTACTTCCCTAAGCATATACTCCCATCTTCTTGTTTTCGTTCGAACCGTATTTTCCATTCATGGAAATTGCAGAAACAGTTCGATACAGCATACAAAAAGGCGATGGCCGGTCAACGGTAATGAAAGTAACCCAAATAAACCTCAATCATTGCGACACTGTACAGCAACTCCATGAGATGCTCGATGGACTTGCTGAAGAGCTGATCGGACGAAGACCGGTAGTCAGCATTTTTCGCAGAGGTGGTCGGGAATCCATTATTAACGTAAATTTCTGCAGTCCATCGCTGGTGGCAAACATAAATTGGAGAGTGTGCGAAGGATATGCCCTTTGCGACCATCTGGCGATCCGATCTGGCATCGGCCAACGGAATACTGTGGCAGGACGAGAACTTGCGAGTGGAAGTGGCAGACGAAGGCTTTCGACAAGGATCTTTTCGTTGAAGCACTCCGTGTGGACAGGGGCCCCGTGGATCTGAACGCGAACGAGCTGACAGAAACTTTAGTGAGAGCATGTGACACGACCATGCCAAGTTAACTGGAGCCAAATAACAGACGGCGTCCAGCTTACTGGTGGAACGAGGCACTTAGCACCCTCCACGCTAGTTGTCTCAGAGCCAGAAGACGTGTTCAGAGACCAAGAACAGAAGCAGACAGAGAGGAACGAAGAGAAGTGTTTCGAGGGGCCAGGGCCGCACTTAAACGAGAGATAAAGCAGAGCAAGTCAAACTGGAGTTGTATCGAGACGCTGATGCCAAACTCTGGAGCATCGCATGGCGAAGATCAGAGGTCCAACGATGCCCATTGAAATGTGCCCAGAGAAGCTGAAAGTCATCCTGGAAGGACTTTTCCAAGCACGATCCTACGACAACTACAGCGCAGCGACGCTTTCTCAAATTAACCATGTAGTTAACGAACATGATCGTAGTATGGACCACTGCTTCGTGAGCACACAGGACAGGGCTCCATTAATTTCCTCGGCTCCTTGTGCACTAACTAAGCTAGTTCCACGTCACCCTCCTCTAATTGTCACTGTTGAGGACAAATTCGTGCGTGATTTCGACGATTATCCTGCTACGGCTTCTTATGACTTCCGTAAAGCAGACCACCGTAGCATCATAGATGTATTGTCTAGCATGGTATGGGAGAACATCCTTGATCCAGATGACGTTGAGGCTGCAGTGCAAACCTTTTCACATGTCTTGGCATATGTCATTGACAGACACGTCCCGAAAAGAACTCACCACAAAGTGTCTCACCCTCCCTGGCAGACGAGAAAGCTACGTAGGTTGAAGTCAATCAAGAGAGCAGCATTGAGAAGATTTACGAAGTATCGCACGCTTCATCTGAAACTACATTATGTGAGGCTGAGTCACATGTACCAGCGAGTCAGTCGTCAATGTTTTCAAGTTTCCAACAAGGCATCCAGCGCAAACTTAAGCGACACCCGAAATCCTTTTGGAACTACGTGAACGAACAACGGAGGGAATCCGGCCTCCCATCGTCTATGGAATTCAACGGAGAAGTTGCTGCCACGGCTCAGGATATTTGCCACCTTTTTCCGAAAAAAATTGCCAGTGTATTCACTGAGATACTAACTGACGACCATATTAACCTGGCTGCCAGGAACGTTCCAGTAAATGATCAAACGCTGGGTGCAATTGTTGTTAATGCTGAGATGATTTCTAAGGCCACGACTCTGCTCAAGTCATCCTTCAATCCTGGACCATCAGTATTTTTGAAAAGGCATATTGCTAGCTTGTTAATTCCGATTTTTCGCCTGTTCTCTCTCCAGTGGCATATTTCCATCTTGCTGGAAATTTGCACACATGTTTCCCGTCCACAAAAAAGGAAGGAAATGAGCTGTGGATAACTATCGAGGAATTACACGGTTAAGTGCCTTTTCGAAGCTATTCGAGCTAGTGATTATGGAACCGTTGCAGTCCCATTGCAAGCAGTATTTGAGTGCTGATCAACATGGGTTTACTGTTGGCCGCTCTACAACCACCAATATGCTGTGTCTCACATCGTATATAACCGAAAGTTGGAGCCGACCCAGCCTCAGGCTGAACGCCTCCTTAATAAAGATAAATCAATCAATTATAACCGAAAGCATGTCGGATCGGGTTCAAACGGACGTTATTTATTCAGACCTATCCGCAGCATTCGACAAGTTGAACCATGCTATCATAGAGGTAACTCTAAGACCACTGGGTCCCGAAGAAAATCATTATTATTTTTGGCTCACTCAGTACCAGAACAACGGTCCCAAGCAGTCCCAAGCTATTTCACTCACCCCTGCATGTTCTGCATGAACCCACACACCCTGATGTTATCTGTCAAACTTTCATAGCGAATCAAAACAAACATAGTGTAGTAATAGAATTTCAACTAGAATAGGGTACGTTAATCGTTTGCTTGGGACCAATAGGCTACTAAAGTGGTGAGCCAATTTAAAATCGTTAGTTTCGTATTGATTGTTGATGCTATTGCGATTGCTAAACTCGGCAGTATACGGTCATATTCTGAGTTGGTTTCGAACATATCTTACCGGTCGGCAGCTAAAGTTTGCCATAGGAGATTGCAGATCAGCTAGCTTCTTCGCCACATCAGGTATACCTCAGGGAAGCCACATGGGACCGTTAATTTTAATACTTTACTTCAACTACTAGTAGTACTACTTGTACTACTGGTCATCGAAGCTCCTCGGTTATTATATGCAGATAACCTCAAAATCTTCCTACGAATCTCCTCCATTGCTGACTGTCACTTTCTTCAACGTCAGCTGAATGTATTCGCTAGTTGGTGCAGGTTAAACAGAATGATAGTGAACCCAGCCAAATGCTCCGCTATTACGTTCTCACGAAAACAACAACCGATAATATTTAGCTATGACCTGCTTGGCTCGACAATCGAACGCGTGAATCAGGTGAAATACTTGGGTGTGATCTTGGATTGGCAGCTTTCATTCAAGCAACACATTACATATGGTGTTGATAAGGCGTCAAGAACTTTAGGGTTCA